GAGTTTTTTTGATAATACTAATCCACCTACACCATGGCTTGGCACTAGTGGCTAGCCGACCACGTTCAGGACTGGGGACCATGACCTCGGCTCTCGCACATCGCAAAAGCCACATTGGATGCTTTAAAGGTGCACGCACGCATCGTTGCAATGGGCCTTAAAGTTTTCGAAATTTGAGTCGTGGTTCAATTACGTGGTAGTAACGGTGTAGTGCATGGCGTCTGGCATGGCTAGATGTGTGATGACTTGACGCATTCGTTCATTCGTGACATGTAGAGACGCAATCTAGATCGCACAATCTAAAGTATTGTGACTAAAGATTCAGATTGATTCGGTCAAATGGTGCATCAATTCACTTGGACCATTTGAAAATCTATATATATGGATCACTGATACATATCTAATACTCTCATACCTTTAAAAATTATGGTCCTTTTATTTTGTTGAAATAAAATTTCATCCGAATTATTTTTAGAAATAAAATTTCATCCGAATAATTTTAAGTTCTAGTCTATTCCGTTTGAGAAGAATATTATCAACACTTTGGTTCAATCAACAAGGTCGGTTTATTGCAATACTGATTTTGAATTTTGAAAGGAGTTATATGTTAGCCTCCAAGGAAACAGAAGTCCAAAATCTGTGTCAAGTAGATTTGCTATGGTGTATCTTTTTTTATCTCCAAGAAAGAGAGTGGCATAAATCTGTGGCCCTTTTAGAAGAGCCAGCCACCCCTACTAATAGTTTCTTCTTTTCACTCTTCTTGTTCTCTTCCCTCAGTTAGTTTCTTGTAGTTTTAAGTGCTCGAATACATATGGAGTCTACGCATCAGTATAGTTCTCCTTTGAAGAATGCCGAGGAAGACACGAGGGTTTTGGAGCGAGCCAGCAAGTTGGTTGCATCTCTTTAAATAGAAGATAGGAGAAAAGCACATATCGAAATTTCAGGTCATTCTGCTGCAATTTGACTCAGTTCAACGGATACTGATCAACCTCCAATTTTTTCAGCTTCAGTTCCCCCACTGTCGTATCTTTTGCCTTTTAAGAGTAGTTATCATCAATATCAAGAGACTGCTCCCTCGTCCTTTTTCTTACTGCCACTTGATGCAGTCTAGGACACTTGCTTTCTCCATTGAATCAAGCTCACTTTTCATCAAGCCATGATCCGCTTCAAGTTTTTCTATATTCACTTTCATGTTTTTGGTGGCCGATCGTAAGACATTACCTCGGATCAATCATCAAATGGGGTCCATATCGAGATAACCAAAGAGGCTAATTTGATACAAAAGTCGAGCATTCCGGTTGGACCATATGGCTTACCTCATTAGGACGGTCAAAGCCACCGTCATTTGGAGATATTATCATGGGTAAATTGGAGGAATGTTCTCTAGTGATTTTAGCTTCATCCTAGCAACCAATTAGAGATGAGAAAGTGTCACCCTTGACTTCAACACCTTCATGCCCATCAATGAAAAAAAAAGAAGAAGCAATGATTGATTGGATATCAGACAATGATGATGGCCTAAATCACATATTACATTCTGGGAGTCGTGAAATTACCAATTAAATTTATCCAAACATGATAGTAGCACAAATCTTGAGAACGGACACTACAGCTTGACGAGATTGAGCGCGACAAGCTCTTGTCTTGTTGCTTATATAATAAAGCAAAGATCCAACGAGAATGACTGTACTAAGCAAATCCTCAGTAATGCACTATCAAGCACGAAAAAGTTCTTACTCTTCCTTGCAAATTCCAACAATTAAACACGGTCACTCTTCACAATCTCTCTTTAGTTGATTTAAAATTGCCACGTTAATTTTAATCATCATCATATGTTATGCTCGCGCTCAATTAAAATTTTCTGGAGTTCATCTAACTCTTTTGTCTGGGTTGCATAGTTTACGTCTTTACGAATTGAATCTATTTGCAGACATATATTGCTTCTTCAACAACATTTAAAGGAGAATCGCGAAGGTTTTAACCTAGACAAGGGTCCGTTTGATTAGTTTAAATTCCATAAAAAAATGTCACATCCAAGAAATTCAATTTCAACTTTGGTTGTTTGATACGAAAGTGAAAATTAAGTTCGAATTCCAAAGTACAACTATTTTAAGCTTTTTTTTTGTTTCGTGGAAAATGCATTAATATGGGATACATGAATTTTTATTTTCCAACTTACATGAAATTGGAAAGTCTTTTCACATTTGCCAATCCAATAGACCTTAATAGTTAAATGAGGGGATAATTTTATTTGTACCGAATGTGGGTTACCGAAAATGTGTCACCCTCTCACATGCACGCAGAGCCTGCGTGAATAAAAAACTCACAAATGTATGATCCCCACACTCTATTGTGAGTGTAGATAAAATATTATGTACACAATAGAGCGCACATGTAGCATAACTCTAAATGAGGTGTTACTAGTGAACGTGATGTCACGAGTTGAAGAATTACTAATATTGTACTAATGTTCGGAACATATGTTAATTGGATTCGAAGAAACAAATGACAAAACTTTTCAACAAATTCTGGCACAAAAGACATGCCTCGAAAGGAGACGGCGACGATTGTCATCTGTTGATTAGGTCTCATCCAGAAGAAGGTTACGGATAATACAAACTCTACGTGTTCTAGATGAAATAAATTTACTTGCTTATTGTTCACTGCTACGCAGTCCAATCATGTTCAGTATGAAGTACATTCAAAAACTATACATCCCAAAAAATCACCATATTTTTTTTTTTTCCATATTTTTTTCATGATCAAAAGGTCATACAGCCCGCATTCTACGTTACACAGAACATTCTATTCGATCACAGATGCTTCTGCATTTTCAACATACAGGAGAGTAAATTGGGAGCACTAACATACACGTAACAAAAAAAAAAAAGCCATTGTTTGACACCCTGCTACAAATCAAAACTTGAGATGAAGAGGAAATTGTATCACAACTCACCTAACTAATCCTCATCAGAAACTATCTTTTGCTTCTTCCACTTATATGCTGCTTCCAAAATTTTGAGATTTGTCGTTTGTGTTTCTTCAGGGAAAAGATAATCAATATACTCCTCATACCTGCAGATTTCAAAATTATTAGTACGGATTGCCCTCAGCGAATCAATTTTGATTGGCATTTCATGGTATTTAAACCGGGTAGGTTCATCATGTGTTACATATGAGCTGCCTAGCAAGCATAAATCTAGTCGGCTTTTTTGTAAGGTGGATTATCCAGTTCAGGACACTATTAAAGTGGAAGTTAATTCTTGACTGTGTGCAAAAAACACGATATGCCTATATTGTGAAGGTAAACTCAGAGTTTGCAACCCATCTTCCCAAAAACTTGCTTATATGTTCGTTTTCAACTTAAGTCAACAAATTTCTCATCAGAGGATCTCCAACAAACTCTCTAAATATAATATGCTCTCTATTGTAGAGAGATTATAAGCTATTTAACTTTTTAAAATAGAGAATGGATTTGGCTCTCTAATTTTGAGAACCGAACCCACTTTATTCTTATTTTACAATGATTGTATAGAAAAAATTACAAATTTCAATACTCTATTTCTTAAATTATGCGAATCATATTTGAATCAATGGGCTATTGACATAAAAAAAATATGTTAAATAGAAAAAGAGGAGAAATCAATAAATATTTCTAGAAGAAAGCAAAATGAAGGGTCAAAATAGAGTCATTGTTGGAGAGTGTAAAAAAAGTTATTCTAAATTTAAAGATGTTCTCTATCATACCCTTTAAATTTAAAGACGTTTTCTATTATACATAAGATGTTCTTTATAAATAGAGAGTCTCTTGAAGATACTCTTATATTACAAAAGGTTTGCGTTAACAAGTCATTGGCTAGCACGTCTAAAATATTTGAGGAATCAATACAACAACCTAAGCAAGAAGTGGGCTTTTACCATTTATGGTAAGTTGGTAAGCACAAACTTCAACTCAAAGGTGACAAAACTGTGAAAGTTAACAGAAACTAAACTAAAGAAAAGCAGAAACATGCAATGGCACCCACATGTATTTCCCATGGTCCACGAACAAACCAAAAGAGTAAAAACTACTAAATGAAATGATGACAACGTGACATCAAGTAAAGTTCACAGTAGACAATTAAGGAATAGACAAAGGAAGTTGAGAGCATACCCAGCAGGACCATCCTCAGTTTCGATATGCCTCCTCTTTTTGAGTTTCTTTGGAAGCTTAACGCGGACCAAATCAACATCACCAAGCTCACCAAAGCCACTTTCCATATTCAACCACTCTTCCAAAAGCATTGCCCTTTCCTCCTTCAATTCAGGTGCAGACGTTCTGAAATAGCCAAGGGCTCTTTCAAACACCCCTGATGAGGAGGGACACAGAGAGAGTATTTTACTAAAATGAAAATAATAAGTTACTAGTAATAGGATTTATTAGGATCAAATTATCTTACCTCTAGCGCGTTGAAGGCATTTTCTCTTCTGTTCATAATCACTTTCTTGCGCATCTGAATCCTGGAAGCCACCCTCTTCCATAGCAGATGCCTCAAATTTGGCATAACTAATCCACACCTTCAAGTGTTTTGTTCGGTTTAAAAGCCTCTCATAAAGAGCTCTAGTCCTTTCATATTCACCCTCTGATATCTCAAAGTCAATGTACGCCTGTATGAAATAAATACTGAGTTTATATGTTGTAACAGACCAACAGCCTCCAGCGATAATAAAGAGGTAGACCAATCAAAACAAGCCAGATTTTCGATATTTAAATTCAGAGCATGTTTGGCTAAGCTTAAAATCCAATTAAAATTGAAAATATAGCCGTTATTGGGTCCCACTCGTCTAATAAAAGACAACAATAACGGCTAGTTTTCAATTTTAATCCAATTTTTAATCTTTACCGAACACGCCCTCAATATTTTCAACTTCATGGGAGGCTTGAAAATGCAGCAGCAAAAATAGTAGAGAGCGGACCAGAGTTTCTTTAAAATTAAAAAATAATTCATTCTCAATCTTGCGGTACAGACATTTGAAATGACAAATATGACTACTTCTTTAATGAGATGCCTCAATAGTAGACCCTAAAAATTATTGTGCTCTATAATGCAATAACAAATCGACAGATGCCAGCCAAAAGACCAAAATGCAGGCCGCTAACAATAATTTTCTGAACAAAAGCATGGAGACAAAATAGCAATACAAAATCTTTTCAACGTATCAAAACAATGGAAGACCAATGGTGTCGTACCTTCCACAACAACTCTGGCATGTCTAAAGCGGGTTGGTCAATTGCAAGCTCAAAAATAGATCTAGCTCTCTCAGTTTCAGCCAGGGATCTTTCCAACTCGGCAAACTTGCTCCAAGCATAACAGTGTTCTGGTGACCATTCCAAATACTTCTGATACAGTTTCCGGCAACGATCAATGTTACCAAGTTGCAGCTCTATCTCAATGTATTTCTTAAATATCTGTTTGTAAATGCAAAAACGACAACATTATACAGAAGAAAAAATAGCAATAAAACAACCTCAATGTGAAGACACAAGAAGAAAGAGGAAAAAGTATTATGTAATCAAACAACTGTGGTACCTTATCTTTTGGAGCTTTGCCAATTGCCGATCCAAGAATTAGTCGTGCTCGATCAAGATCTAACTGTCGTATTTCAAACTGGGCAGCCATCAACCAAATCTTCGCAAATGAAAATTTGTCATGAGGAATGATCTTGAGACACAAGCTGGTCAAATTTCAAAGTAAATCAGGAACTCAGAATCCAGATCAATTCTTATGAAGAAGACGTGCAAAATTTGGAAGATGTGCTTGCATTATGTTTGAGGGTGTGAATAGAGTGCACTTTTTAACTAACAAAAAAATCACTCTTTTGATATTATTGTTTTAGTTTTTTGGATGGCAACTGTAGGAAAACTGAACTGTTTCTTGACTAAAATTGGTCATCATAATAAAGTATATTACCTAACTTATTCATTATGCAACTGCATTTCATTAGTAAGGAAAATATGAAACATCAATTTGAAATGTGAAAACTTTTATGATCTCAAATGATACTAGTATGAAACCCAAGAAAAAGCAAAATTATTGGAGACCCTTCTCAGCTTCAAGTTAATTCTTTTGGCATAGCTTTTCAAGCAAGATTCACTTATCGGTCTAATCTTACCTCTAGGCGGGTTAAAAGTTCAAAGCTCATCTATTTAGGCATACCCATTTATCCTTTAAGATCAGGGAAACTTCTATAATTTCTTCAAAATTTCATAATTTCTAAAATTAATTGGAATTTACCCAACAAATAGCTGTCAACTGTGTAAAAGTACATCAAAACAAAGCCACCAGAGGTTAAACCAGAAAAGGAAACCAAGCATATGTTTCATCAAAGAAAAGCACTCGTATATAAAGCACATTATATTCATTATATATTTATATCCATTCAACAAGATTAAGAGTAGTTATTATTAAATGAACTTGCAGCAAAGTTGATATGCAATTATGAAAAAATCATAAGAATTCAAGCATGACCACCAACAAATATTACAGAAAGAGAATTGTATACATGTAGGGCTTTATTTTGTTTAACGTGTTGCATGTTCAAGTTATCACCAAATAGGTAACTTGCTACCAAGCTAACTGAAAGATATCGCCACCACAAACTTGAGGCTTAAGTGCACAAAGTACATTGAGCCTAAAATTGCTTACCCTAGGGATTGCCTTCCCGTTCTTTGCAACTAGGTGCACTTTTAAGTTGCAAAGACTGCCTTGTGTCTCATTTTGAACTTTCAAACCACCTAACCTCATCTAGGGGAAATAGCCGGTGAATTGGAACTTTTCTAAATGCTTGTCAAGAAACCCACTATGGACTGCTCAATTGACCCAGCACACCGGTTCACCTACAAACTAAACAGCTACATCATGTTCTCGAGACCAACCACTTGTGAAATCTGGGAAGGTTTACAAATCATGCTTGCTATTGGTTGTTTGTTAAAATTTACACTCGTGAAAAGTATAAGTAATTACTTCTATAGATCATATTTTTCTGTGATTGAACTAGGAAGTGGAGTAATGACTTTCATTTTCCTCAAATCATCACAACTCCAATAATTGGGCAATGCATTTGTGAAAAGTACACTGGAATAGTAACTATTTTAGTATTTACATCCGTTACTATTGATCTTTCTTCACGTTCTGTACCGTAACCCTCACTACGATACCTATTGGACGATAGACATGATTCCTGATTTTCAACTTCTCGGTCTCTTCCTTCATTTTTAAATTACAAAAACCTGTGCTTCCAGCCATCCCTTTAAAACAAGTTACATTCATTCCTAACACTCCAAATCATCAACTACAACCTTCAATAAGGAGCTAATCAGTCCATGTCACATACCTTTTGGAGTAACAAAGGCCATGCCTTATGGGTATAGGGAGGTAAGTGAGCAGGAGCAGATCATTGGGCAGTCTTGGACAGTGAGCCCTTATTTTGAGATGAAACTATGGGAGAGAACGTAGGGGTTACGAGTGGAGATTACTTTTCCATTGTGCTTCATGTTCTGTAGCTTGCAAACATTCCATCTTGAATGTACTCCTTGATGAATTTTTTGGAGATTTTAGCCATATTAGGAATAATATCTACAGTTATGAAATTATAAAAGTACAGAAACCTAACAGTGTAGTTAAAATCAAGTTTCTTCCGCACGATGACCATCATTAAAAAGAGTTAACACCAATCCATCTCTCCATGAGATCTAGGAAGTAAAGCAAATAAAAATAGTCATTTATGTCTTAAAATGAAAGTTATGTTAGCACCCATACATAGGATGCAACTTTTATACCAAATGTTATATTAACATAAGTCACCAGCAGTAAGCGAGCAATAACAGCCCTCACTCAGATTCATGAGTAACTTGAGCATTAAATTTGACAAAGTAAATTTCACAGAATTTGCAAAAATTGCTACATCAAACTTACAATTTATGAACTTAGCAAATAGGATAATAGTGCAAGAACTCTAACAAGAAGCTACTTTTATCACTCACTAAAACGAAAATAACCATGTGTGCAATGTACCATCTGACAACATAAGGCACTCTCAGATGAAATGCAGAAGTGATAACAAGCAATGTAGCCGCATTTTTGCGTGAAATGTCCCAGGCCATATTTTACTAGGCAAAGAAATTCCCTAGGACATTATGGTAAGGGCCCTAGATGATCCACATAAAAAAGCATAGATTCGTGAAAATTATTTTTTTGCAAATGGCAGATAGAATCAGTCATATCATAAAAGACCATCACATATCAAAATATCTNCATGACATATCAAAATATCTCACAAGATCAATGTCAGCTTACTTGTAAATATTTCTGGTACGGTCTACATCTTGGGCATCCAGTTCTTCATACAAAACGTAATTAATCCTGAGCATACAAGTTCAACCAGTCAGAAAAATTTAAACTAAAAGAAAATGGTGTTCTTACATTTACCATTATGAATGTCGATCTTACCACATGTATATATACCGCTGCCAATAACGCTTCTCTTGAGCAGGAGGAATATTCGCAATGGCCCTCTCATAAACATCTTCAACCCTTTCTTTATTTCCGGCGCTCTCTTCTAACCTAATGTAATCAAACCATGCATCGTAATTAAGCGGGTTCTTCCTAACCTCATCTTCATACTGAAACCTCCTCTTCCCAACAATAGCATCCTCAATTCCTTCCCTGTCACCGTATTGCTTCTCAAAGGCAACAAATTTTTTGTACAGTTCCTCTGCCCGCCCCTTGGGAATATGATCCAAGGCATATTTATATATACACCTTGCCCTCTCTGTTTCCTTACATTTCTCTTCAAACTCTGCAAACGCCACAAATAACTCCTCTGCCTCTTCGTCATCCCCCAACTTTTCCACTGCACGCT